CCTGGCGTTTTCAGTCCATGGGTAACATTTAATGATTTGAATTGTAAATGTATTTTGAATCTCCTTAAAGGCAGGAATAATAATATTAGTCTTGTTCAGCACTTGGGCCTGGCACGCACTAGAAAAATCAGTAACACTTAAAAAAAAAAAAAAAAAAAAAAAGAAAGAAAGACTACTAATACTTTAAGCATATTGAAAGTGGCCGCTGCCGTGAAAAAAAAAAAAAAAAGACCATGGGATAGTAGGAATTTTTTTTTTAAGTGGAGGTAGTGCTTTAGGCAAATCACTAACCTCTCTGATTTTTTTTTTTGTCATCTATAAAATGGAGATGATAATAATAGGGAGGTTAGGATAAAATAATACATGTAAAGCACTTAGCATATACTAGGTCCTCTAAATTTTTTTTTTTTTCAGTCATAGAGGCTACTCTTTCCATTCTGGGTTTAGAGCCAACTCTTCTGATTCTAAGCCCTCTGCTTCCACCGCCCACCCCCCTCACTATGTTTTTTTTTTATTTAAAAAACTCCAGGACTAGGCCGGGCACAGTGTCTCATGCCTGCAATCCCAGCACTTTGGGAGGCCAAGGCGGGTGGATCACGAGGTCAGGAGTTCCAGACCAGCCTGGCCAACATGGTGAAACCCCGTGTCTACTAAAACTACAAAAATTAGCCAGGCACAGTGGGGGGCACCTGTAATCCCAGCTACTCGGGAGGCTGAGGCAGGAGAATCGCTTGAACCAGGGAGGCGGAGGTTGCAGTGAGCCAAGATGGTGTCACTGCACTCCAGCCTGGGTGACAGAGTGAGACTCCTTTTTTTTTTAAAAAAAAACCAAAACAAACAAACAAAAGCCTCCAGGACTATTTTTTTTTTGGCAGAGACTTCGAAGCAGAAGCCCTAGGCACCCCTGGCCCAGCCTGGGGCAACTGCTGCCTCTCACTCCACAGTGAATGAGGTAATGGTCCCCCTCGGGAAAGAGGCAGTTAGTGCTGACAATGAGGCTAATTAACAAGATGTTTTTTTTTTCCAGGAGACCGCTATATGTAGGAGGGGGGAATTCTGGCACGTTTTTTTTTTTCTTGTGAGGACTGAGGGCTGAACTCGAAGGAGAGGATGAGTTTTTTTTTTACCATCCCCTCTTCATGCCTCACCCACCCAGAAAATCTCTCGTCCAGGAAGGCTTCCTAATCCCACACTTCACTCCCCTCAGTTTCCTCCTGCATCTGCGGTCAGTTCTGAGACAGGAGCGTGAGGCTGTGGGAACAAAGGGCAAGAGCCAGGACTTGTGCTACACTTTTTTCTTTTCTTTTTCTTTTTCGAGATTTTTTTTTTCTCTGTCACCCAGGCTGGAGTGCAGTGGTGCGATCTCAGCTTTTTTTTTTTTTCGCCTCCCGGGTTCAAGTGATTCTCCTGCCTCAGCCTCCTTTTTTTTTTGGACTACAGGTGTGTGCCACCACGCCCGGCTCTTTTTGTATTTTTTTTTTTGACAAAGTTTCACCGTGTTAGCCTGGATGGTCTCGATCTCCTGATCTTGTGATCCACCCACCTTGGCCTCCCAAAGTGCTGGGATTACAGGCATGAGCCACCGCGCCCAACCTACATTTTTGAATATTGAAAATATTTTGGACTTTTTTTTTTGGCTTATGCCTCTAATCCTAGCACTTTGAGAGGCCGAGGTGGGTGGATCATGAGGTCAGGAGTTTGAGACCAGCTTGGCCAAGATGGTGAAACCCGTCTCTACAAAAAAATACAAAAATTACCCAGGCACGGTGGCACCTGCCTGTAATCCCAGCTACTCAGGAGGCTGAGGTGGAAGGATCAATTGAACCCAGGAGGTCCAGGCTGCGGTGAGCCATGATTACACCACTGCACTGCACTCCAGCCTCAGCAACAGAGTGAGAGCCTATCTCAAAAATGAAAAAATAAATAAACTGGGCACCATAGCACGCACCTGTAGTCCCAGCTACTCTAGAGGCTGAGGTGGATTGCTTGAGCCCAGGAAGTTGAAGCTGCAGTGAGCTGTGATCATAACACTGCGCTCTAGCCTGGGCCACAAAGCAAGACCCTGTCTCTAAAAAATAAAAAGAAACAAAACTAAACATTTTAGACATACAAAAAGTTATGAATATATATGTGTGTTTGTATTTTTTTAATTAAGAAATTTTTAGAGGCCGGGCGCGGTGGCTCAAGCCTGTAATCCCAGCACTTTGGGAGGCCGAGACGGGCGGATCACAAGGTCATTTTTTTTTTACCATCCTGGCTAACACGGTGAAACCCCGTCTCTACTAAAATTTTTTTTTTACTAGCCGGGCGAGGTGGCGGGCGCCTGTAGTCCCAGCTACTTTTTTTTTTGAGGCAGGAGAATGGCGTGAACCCGGGAGGCGGAGCTTGCATTTTTTTTTTATCCGGCCACTGCACTCCAGCCTGGGTGACAGAGCAAGACCTTTTTTTTTTAAAACAAACAAACAAAAAAAAAAAAACCAAACAAAAAAAGATTTTTTTTTTGATGGGGGTCTTGCTATGTTGCCCAGGCTGAGCTTGAACTCTTTTTTTTTTTGCCTCAGCCTCCTAAATAGCTGGGATTACAGGCTTTAGCCACCATGCCCAGCTTTTATATATACACAGTTTAAGAAATAAAATGGGCCAGGTGCTGTGGCTTGCGCCTGTAATCCCAGCACTTTGGGAGGCCGAGGCGGGTGGATTACCTGAGGTCAGGAGTTCGAGACCAGCTTGGCCAACATGGTGAAACTTTTTTTTTTTAAAAATACAAAAAAATTAGCCAGATGTGGTGGTGGACGCCTGTAGTCCCAGCTACTCAGGAAGCTGAGACAGGAGAATTGCTTGAACCTGGGTTTTTTTTTTTGCAGTGAGCTGAGATCGTGCCTCCGCACTCCAGCCTGGGCTTTTTTTTTTAAAAAAAAAAAAAAAAAAAGAAAGAAAAGAAATAAAAGGGGTTTTTTTTTTTGGCTTATGCCTGTAATCTCAGCACTTTAGGAGGCTGAGGTTTTTTTTTTTCTTAAGCCAGGAGCTTAAGACCAACCTGGGCAAGATGGCAAGACCCCATCTCTACAATAAATAAAAACGTTAGCAGGTGTGGTGGCACATGCTTGTGGCCCATCTATTCAGGAGGCTGAGGCAGGAGCATCTCTTGAGTTCAGGAGTTCAACATTGCAGTGAGCTATGATTGTGCCATTATACTCCAGCCTGAGTTTTTTTTTTAGACTCTGTCTGTCCCTTCCCCTCAAAAAAAGAGTTACCATTTTTTTTTTTGACATTCTGTCTATATACCTCTCCTGGAAGGTAACCATTCCTTTTTTTTTTTGTGCAATACGCTTCCATAGACCTTGCCATGTTTTCCGCCTCTTCCCTCTGGAGCAGGGCCATCCAGTAGAATCCTGTACAGTGATGGAAATTTTTTTTTTTTGCACTGTCCAATATGTTAGTTACTAGCAGCGAATGGCTACTTTTTTTTTTAAATGCAGTTAGTGTAAGGGACTAATTTTTTTTTTTTTTTTTTTTTTTTTTTCTCGCTATGTAGCCCAGGCTGGAATGCAGTGGCGTGATCTTTTTTTTTTTCAACCTCCGCCTCCCAGGTTCCCGCCATTCTCCTGCCTCAGTTTTTTTTTTAGCCGGGACTACAGGCACCCGCCACCTCACCAGGCTAATCTTTTTTTTTTTTTTCTTGAACAAGAGGCAGCCTCTCCAGGTCCTTCTTGGAGTTTTTTTTTTACCTGTGGTTGTGACAGCAGCTCCACAGTTCTCCAGGTGCCCTGGCTGGGCGCTGCCCATCCTTCTACCCAGGCAGCACCGTGTCAACACCTTCTCCTCTCAGGAGCCAGGTGACCGAACTCCCGAAGCCATGGATAGGTAGATTTTTTTTTTACAGAGGAGAAAGAAGAAAGGAGGAGGGTGGAGATAAGATGTTTTTTTTTTGTGCCCCGTGTGGGCAGGGATGGGAGGCTGGACCGAGCGCTTTTTTTTTTTAAGGAAGACGCATTAACCTTTTCGACACCTTTATTTATGAATTTTTTTTTTAACAGATACAAAGTTAGTGTCAGCAGGCTGGAGGAGGGAGTTAATATGCACTCCTTCCTTCCCCTGGTGGGGGCTGAAGCCAGAAGTGGCTTTATCCTTCCCTCCACCTTGGCAGCAATGGGCTGGGAGAGGCCCTGGGACAGTTTTTTTTTTCAAGGGCAGGAGGAGGAAGGGAACAATGGGTAGTAGGGCCTGGGGCAGAGCCCCCCTCTCCTGGAATAAGAGGCTTGACCCTGCTCGCCCTGGCCGGAGCCGTGCTTCTTCTCTGCAGCATGGAGAAGTGATTTGCACTGGGCTTTTTTTTTTGTGAGCTTCTCTGGGACTCTCTCCTGCTCCCCAGCCCAAGGTTTTTTTTTTCCTCTTCGGCTATTTCTCATGTAAGGGTCCTCTGTGACACCTTTTTTTTTTTTCAGGGATGCCTGCCTTCCCAGATCTCACAGGGCACTGCCCTCAGTCCCTGCGCTTAAGGGGCAGGGAGCCAGACCTGGTGGGGCACAGCATTTTTTTTTTTCTCCCCAACGGGGGCCTCAACTATGTCCACACTTCTAGGGTTTTTTTTTTCTCCTTGCTACCCAGCGGGGGCAACAAAGACTCATCCTCAATTTTTTTTTTGGGGAAGTGGACCAGGTGGCCCTGGACCTGGGTGAGCTCAGACCGAGCCAAGGGAGGACTGACGGTGGCCAAGGGCTCCACGGCCACATACTCCCGGAGTGTCCGCAGGGAACGCGTGGCATTGGTCGGTAGGCAGCGGAAGATTTTTTTTTTGGGGCATGGATGCCAATAAGGCTTGGGGAGACTCTCCCAACTTTTTTTTTTCGACTAGGCTCGACCCCTTCCCCCATGCCATCTCTCCACACTTTTTTTTTTCCTGGGCCTCTCTCTCTTTTTTTTTGAGACGCAGTTTCACTTTTTTTTTTTAGGCTGGAATGCAATGGCGTGATCTCGGCTCACTGCAACCTCCGCCTCCTGAGTTCAAGAGATTCTCCTGCCTCAGCCTCCCAGTCACGCCCTTTTTTTTTTTTTGTATTTTTAGTAGAGAAGGGGTTTCTCCATGTTGGTCATTTTTTTTTTGAACTCCTGACCTCAGGTGATCCGCCTGCCTTGGCCTCCCATTTTTTTTTTATTACAGGCGTGAGCCACTGCACCCGGCCAATTTTTGTACTTTTTTTTTTTATGGGGTTTCGCCATGTTGGTCAGGCTGATCTCGAACTCCTTTTTTTTTTTGATCCGCCCGCCTCCACCTCCCAGAGGGCTGGGATTACAGGCATCAGCCACTGCACCCGGCCTGGGCCACTAAATCTCTTGATAGCAAACGTTTTTTTTTTTTCATCCCCCTTCCGAGAATGAGTGTGTGGTAGGGCTTCTCTTTTTTTTTTTCTGAGCAGGATAATGCACACATTTCCCCAGGCCACTCTCCCCCTCCCCTCCCAAGTTCCCACCTGCTCATAGATGTTAGCGTTGCTCTCAGCTGTGTCTTGCCACAACTGGAAGAAGTCATCACAGACGGGGTCTCGGAGATCTTTTTTTTTTCGGGTATTTGCTCCAAGAATCACACTATGGGAGAAAGGGGTCCCAGCAGGGCCAGATTAAGATCCTTAGAGAACCTGAATGCCAGAAAAGTTTTTTTTTTTTTACTCAGGTAATTCAAAATTGGCTGGGCGCAGTGGCTCACGTTTTTTTTTTCAACACTTTGGGAGGACGAAGCCGATGGATTGCTTGAGCTCAGGAATTCAAGACCAGCCTGGGCAATATGGCAAAACCCCATCTCTACAAAAAAATACAAAAATTAGCCAGGCGTGGTGGCATGTGCCTGTAGTCCCAGCTACTTGGGAGGCTGAAGTGGGAGGATCACTTAAGCCAGAGAAGTCGAGGCTGCAGTGAGCTGTGGTCACGTCACCGAACTCCAGCTGGGTGACAGAGCAAGACCCTATCTCAAAACAAATAACAAACAAACAAACAAAAACAAAACAAATGCAATATGAAATAGCAAAATAAGTATAAAAGAAGCCAACAGAGTTCTGATTTGTCTTTTTTTTTTTTACTACCTTGGTGTTTTAAAAAATTATTTTTATTTTAAATTTTTTTTTTTTTCTGTTCTTTCCCCAATCCTCATAACCTGTGAAAATAATTACTTTTTTTTTTTT